CTGGAAGTGTGGGTGGGGGGGTATATTACAATGTCACCTGAAAGTGGGGGGTATATTACAATGGCACCTGGAAGTGGGGGGGAATTATTTCAATGACACCTGGAAGTGGAGGGATATATTCGGCAGGAAGTGAACATTTTGTCCCTGAAGTTGATGTGTTAGAAGCACATAAAATGTACAAGTGTGAGGATTTGAGGGACTTTGATAAGGGCAAAATTGTAATGTCTAGACGACTTGGTCAGAGCAACACCAAAACTGCAGCTCTTGTGGGATGTTCCCAACCAAAAGTGGTCCAAGGAAGGAATGCCAATGAACCTGCAAAAGGGTCATGGATGCACGAGATGAGCGAAGTCTGGCCCGTGTAGTCCAATACAGTAGAAGAGCTTCTATAGCTCAAATTGTTGATAAATTGAATGTTGGTTCTGATGGAAAGGAGTCTGAACACACGGAGCATCGCAGTTTGTTGTGTTTGGGGCTGTGTAGCTGCAGTCTGGTCAGGTTGCCCATGCTGACCGGTATTCACCCCCAAAAGCAATGGACACATGAGCATCAGAACTGGACCACGGAGCAATGGAATAAGGTGGCCTGGTCTGATGTACATCATGTGGATGGCCGGGTGCGTGTGTGTCACTTACCTGGGGAAGAGATGGCACCAGGATGTACTATGGGAAGAAGACAAGCCGGCGGCGGCAGTATGATGCTTTGGGCAATGTTCTGCTGGGAAGCCTTGGGCCCTGCCACTCATGTGGATATTACTTTGACACGTGCCACCAACCTAAACGTTGCTACTGACCAAGTACACCCCTTAATGGAAACAGTATTACCTGTTGGCAGTGGCCTCTTTCGGCAGGATAATATGCCCTGCCACACTGCAAAAATGGCTCAAGAATGGTTTGGGGAACACATCAATGAGTTTGAGGTGTTGACTTGGCCTCCAAATTCTCCAGATCTCAATCCAATGCAGTATCTGTGGTATATGCTGGAAAAACGAGTTCGATCCATGGAGGCCGATCACCTCACAACTTACAGGTCTTAAATGATCTGCTACTGACGGCTCGGTGCCAGATACCACAGCGTACCTTCAGAGGTCCAGTGGAGTCCATGGCTGGACAGGTCAGGAAAACGAGGACCTACTCAATATTGGGGGGAGTCATTCAGATACCACAGCATACCTTCAGAGGTCTAGTGGAGTCCATGCCTGGACAGGTCAGGAAAAGAGGGACCTCCTCAAAATATTTGTAGGGGTCATCCAGATACCACAGCATACCTTCATTGGTCTAGTGGAGTCCATGGCTCGACTGGTCAGGAAAAGGGAACCTATTCAGTATTTGGATGGGTCATTCAGATATCACAGCATACCTTCAGAGGTCTAGTGGAGTCCATGCCTGGATGGGTCAGGAGAAGGGGACCTACTCAATATTAGGGGGGTCATCCGGATACCACAGCATACCTTCATTGGTCTAGTGGACTCCATGCCTGGACAGGTGAGGAAAAGGGGGACCTACTCAATATTAGGGGGATCATCCAGATACCACAGCATACCTTTAGAAGTCTAGTGGAGTCCATGGCTCGACAAGTCAGGAAAAGGAGGACCTACTCAATATTAGACGGTTGGTCGTCATGTTATGGCTGATCTGAATGTATTAAGGCAAATGTGTAAAGTTACTGAAAGGTCTACTTGAACATACTCCTCATAGATATAACCTACCTCTAATGTAGTAGAAAGGTAGAGTCGTAGGTAGGTCGTTCCCATTGACATGTGACTGTATAGAATGCAGAGACACTGAATATTCACCACAATACAGTTTTATCATAACGAGTCTGAAATGTTTTTTTGTTCCAACTCTGGATAAGTGGCATTGGCAGTTCACCTCGGCCCGCACTTCAACTATTGAAATACTTCGGCAGCCATATTATTTACTTCTTTATTTTTCTGTAAGAAAATAACAAACCATCAAAAATGTGCACAGAGATAAAAAAAAGTGAAGTATTTCGGAGCAGTGAGTACATTATAAGAAACAGGACGTACTGAGAAATGTTGGGAACGCCATTTACCCTTCTTGACTTTCTCTTTTATGAGCCAACTGGGCTCGATTGTTCCATGTCAAGGTAACTGATTCAGTTATTCTTTTTACATCTGGCCCGCACTTGGGGGATGTTATGTACTATAGTGTAGTATGTGATCCCAACAAACCTTTCACATTTGATCCCTATTGTTTAGTTCATTCTATCATTCAAAGTATTTTGTTATATCTGTTTGATTAAAAAAAAAACCCCAAAGCAAACCTGTTGAACCTGCAGCAACAAAGTGCTTCTGCTGCTCTGAAATACAAGGAGTGTTATCAGCTCTGCTCAAAGAACTACAACACCCTCCCCCATATTATGGAGACGAGGACGGGAGTTGTTCTGAACTCCTAACACATCTCCTGTCCTAGGGTGACAACGCTGCTCTTCTATAGGCACAGTGAGTGAGCGTTGTCACTAGAGGTGCACCGAAATAGAAATTTAAAAACCGAAACGATACCGAAAAATAAAAAAAATTGTCAGGTCAAAACCGAAACCGAAAATGTTTTTATTTTAATTCTTTCAAATTTTTCAAATATTTTATTTTTTATTTATTTTTTATAAACGTTTTAATTTTTTTAGATTTATTTTTATTTATTAACTCATTTTTTATCATATATTTAAATTTTTTACTTTACATTTAGGGGCTTTGGGGAAATATTAGGCGTTTAAACAGACCCCCGATATTTCCCTTTTAAAACAGAAAAAGTGATTGAGAATCCTCTATGAGTGTTCCTGTTCATTGATAACTTGAGGACAGAGTATGTTTACTATAACTACAACTATGAATGAACAGGAAGTGATGTAGGAGGGGATGTAGATCACTCCCATTCATAGTTGAGGATACAGTAACCATACCATATCCTCAATCATCTACAAACACTCAGCGATCACTGATCACTGAGTGTTTGCTATCCTCTCTGACACCCGTCACAGGAGGCTGAGCGAGCGGTGTGGGAGGAGAGCCCAGCCTCCTGTGACAGCGCGAGCTGTCTCCGCCCCCACACCGCTCTGCTGGACTGTGATAGGTGGCTGAGCGGTGTGGAAGGAGAGACAGCGGCCGCTCATAGCGCTCTCCTCCCGCAGCGCTCGGCCGGCTGTCACTTTCTCTCCTCCCCGCTGGGACACGGATCAGCGCTCAGCGGAGAGGAAAGAAACCCGGGATGCGCCGACGTATCGGTAGGAGAATGGCACTTTCGGGCATTTAGCCAAAAGTGCAATTTTCGGCCGAAATGTTTCGGCGGCCGATATATCGGTGCATCCCTAGTTGTCACCCTAGGACAGGAAGTATGTTACTGGTAGGATTGCCAGGCGATCGGATTGCCAGGTGAAAATAAAGGACTGGTAAGCTGAAAATATTGCTTTAAACTGCATTTTTTTTGCACTGTAAGTTAATGTAATACCACATTAGGGCCACTAGATGGAGCTGAGGAGCACAGTATTAACTTCCTATGCCCCTCAGCTCCATCTGTTGGCCATATGTGATGTTGCATTACCTTACATTCCACCTAAAAAAGAAAATATACTAAAAATGTTCCCTTTTTGCCTCTATTCAC